CAGACCCGTACATACTCTTGCACTTCATACAGTTGACTGTTGACAAATATGATGCAGGGCAACAACTCCATAAGTGCAGTTATGCCCTAAAATTCTAGATATTGGGGCAAAAATGCTCCTGTATTAGTTTTGTCTCACATGATAAGCGATATCACACGAGCAGTGAGAGCAATATCACACAAGTGCTTGTTTCTGTCCTGAATATAACGAGCGCATGTGATTTTAAACAACAGTTCAGTAAATAAGAAGTTAATATTGTGGTATATTTTAGATTGGCAAAATTGAGCATTAACAGACAATTGTAGCCTATGTAAATATTACCCATAAAGCCACAGCAGAACTGTTGTGTGTCTCCGAGCAACACACAATAGACCATATGCAGGGAGCGTTCTTTAGAACTACTGTATAAAGATAAGCCAAATGATGAAAGCGTCATTAACATACAGTTTCATTTTATTTAACAACATCATTTTATATGCCGAATCCCAGCTGGTGTTCTCTCTTTCTGACTGTACTGTCCTCAGTCAATACAAGAACATGTTACAACGGTCCATACTCTGCTGGATCATTCTGAGTGAGAAAGAACAGAGCTCAAATACTTCATTTGTTTTACTAAAGTAGGATATATCAACATTCATATTGGTCTTTCTTTGAAAGCAGCAAAGAAATATTTTTTTCCCCATGTCTAGTAGCTTCATTTACACGACCGTTAAAAAGTTTAGGGTGAGTAAGATTTTTAAAATGTTTTTCAAATAAGTCTCTTATGCTCACTGTGGCTGATTTGCTGCTCAAGAAAAATGTCTTATTATTATCAATGTTGAAAACATTGTGCTGCTTATGGAAACTGTGATACTTTTTTCAGGATGAATAGAAAGTTAAAAAGAGAAACCTTTTGTAACATTCTGAAAATCTTTATTGTCATTTTTGATCAATTTAATTCATCCATGCTGAATAAAAGCATTAATTTCTTTACAAAAAGCTAGTGTGCTCCTAAACATTCATTGACAAAATGAACTTTAAACACATTTATACACAATTCTCTTCTTAGTAAACAGACCAAAAATACTGATGACAACATACCGGTGCCAGTTGCATAAACTTAGCCACCATGTTAAGACTGTCTTAAGAACTTGTTTGACCAACTAGCAGTTGCCAAGGGGTAATCAGTCTTACTTTGTCCAATACAAATAAGCCCAATCTACCTTTTCCTAATTTAATTAAAAAAGTTATGATCAGTCTTGAAGAAAAAAAATAGATGACTAACTTTTTAAGACTATTCTAAACAGTTTATGCAACCGGCCCCTGCACTCACGGCATATCCACAATTGTGTCCAATCAAATGCTTGCTACTATAATGGTTCATGACTGACACTAAAACTAAAGGCTTTACTTGTTTTTTTTAAGAAATGAGCTCTTGATATGCCCTGGCCAAACTTCCTGTTTCACTATGTCAACACAGGAAAGAAAAGTGCCTTCATCAAGTAATTTCATGTGTCTTTGAGGCTAACCTGATAGCAATCATTAGTCTGTATCCATGGCATCAGGAATTATTGGCCTAAAACAGAAAATCCTGCAAAAAAAAAAAAAAAGCTAAACGCTTCGTGATTTGCCTGCTAATGGAAAATAGACCTGTTTTTTTTTTTTTTTCTGTTCAAAGTCATGTTTCAAAATCTGCTTGTGTCACATCCTCTTTCTCACTGTAAACACAGGACACACCTGCTTTCAAAATCGGCCTCTTATCAGTTTTAATACAGACAGAAGTTTATGTTTGTCTCTTAGCTTTAAAAGTTTTGTGCAGACAGCCTGTGACACAGGAGGGCAATATGTGTATCTATGTAGAAAAAAAGATGCTACAGGGCAATGGTGACTCTCTCTCTGCAGATGACAAAGACACGTGTACCAGCAAAAGCGTATGATGGAATGCTCTAGGTACCCATATACTGAAAAATAGAGGAAAAGCCATGGCTGCCACACAGCTGTCGCCACTGGAGTGCTTAATAATCCGTGCCACAGGCAGTGATGTGATCTCATGAGGGAAAATCAGGTGAAGGATCAAGAGAAAACAGCTCTAAGCGTTATCATCTCTCTCCCAGTTATCTCATGCTATGGCCAACAACAAGCGCTATTACAACAGAGCTTCAGATTAGTGTGCTAAACTAGTGTGTTAATCTGACAAGAACTGTGCTGTAATAATACACTGTGTCACAGCATTTAAATCATTTTCTTTTGCCATTTAAAGAGCTCGCAGATACATCTTGCATACAGTGGGCTAAAAATCTGACTTTTTTTTCAAAATGTATTATAAATTAGTTTTTTCAGCATTACAATTTGATTGAACTATTAACATTTTGTTTGGTTTTTGAACTAATGTCAGCATACATGTTGATCATGACATTTAGTATCATTTGAGAGTGTTCCAATCAAATGTTTAATGGAAGCAAGAAAACCTGAAATTAAAATTGTTTTGTTAGTGACCTACAAATAGTGCAGAATATATATATATA